GCCCGGCCCTGGGCGGGCAGGGATGGCGCCTCCTCCGCCTTCGCCCGAGCTGCTGTTCCTGGCAGCCCTGGCGGGGCTCCTGGGTCCCAGTGAGGTAAGGCGACCCGCTCCTGGGAGGGCTTCGGCCCGGGATCTCAAAGCGCTTTGCCGAAAGTTCGTCCTGGAAAGAGCTGGGCGCCGAGAGGGAACTAAGAGTCCCTGGCTGGCTGGCTGGGCCCGGGGAGAGAGAGGGCAGGGCCCTCGCTGAGTCCAACGCCCCAGCTCTGTGCCTTGGACCCACAGGTGGTGGCTGGGCCCACGGAGGAGGCGGTATCTCGTTGTCCCGAAGGCCTGTGGCCTCTCCCCCCACAGGTAGGAGCCCGGAGGACCCAGGGAGAAAGGGGTGTGCAGGGCTACCTAATCCCTCTCTGGCCTCATCGCACTCCACCGCCACCCTCTGGGGACCTTTGCCGGTTCCTCCTGCCTCCGTCGCCAGGTTCTCTATCCCCTCACCCCACACAAGGAGTCCCCATCTGCTCTAAGCGCTCTTCTTTCCCATATAGGTGTCACCAAGAGTGACCTACACAGGGGTGAGCTCAAGGCAGGTAAGTTCAAGCTGGACCCATCCTTGGTATGGCCACCTGGTCACAGTGAGATCCTTGCAGGCTTGCTCCGCCTTTTCTGCCCCCTTACTCAGCTTTGCAGCTTCTCTGGGGAAAAGATGAGGCTTCTCCCTCAGATCAGTCCCAGGACAGATGGGCCCCTGTCCTGAGTCCTGTGTCAGGAATGCTGTTCAGTAGCTGGCTGTGTGGGCAAGTGGCCACAAAGGGAACTCTAAGGGTAGAAGCAAAAACCCACACCCCAACTCCCCTGTGTGGCTGTGGGAAGTACCTCGACTTTCTAGGCCCCAGTTTTTCTTTTAATTTGCTATGGGGCATGTGTGCTCACAGGAGAAACAGAGAGACAGAAAGTGAGAAATCACCCCCCAAGGGGGATAGTCACACTACAACCCCCTCTCCTTCATTCTCCTCTTGGAATTTTGAGAACAGGCACACGTGCCCTGTGTTTTTCAAGCCACTGGGTTGAGGACTTGAACCTTGCAGTAAGCCGTGTGAGATCCAGCCGCCTAGCCACCATGCAATCGGCTGGCCCAGGACCCCCCTTTCCTGTAGGAGGGGATGTTAATTCCATCCCTACCTACATCGTATCAGGAATGTGCCCAGGTTAGCTTTCTGTCTTCGTCACCCGTGGTCAGCAATTCCATCCCTTTGTTTTTTCCTTTGAAATATCTTTTTCCCCTTTCGAAATGTCTATCTTCTGTAATGGCTCCAAGCCAAGAGATGTCACCTCATGCCACCTACCTGATTCCTTTCCTCAAACAGCCCTTTCATGAAGTCATTCCTTTGTCCTGAAACCCTCAATGGCTTCTTATGTCACTCCTTATCATGGCCATACTCCTACCTGGCTTTTCAGGCCTTAGTGAAATAAGCCTCATCTGCCCTCTGCAAATCTTTGATTCCTCTTCAGTCCTGTTAGTCTGCCCTCCACACAAAGGCGTGCCAGGACCGTTCCCTTTACTCCATGCATTCTCTTGCACAGCTGGCCTATTCTGACTTGAAGCAGGTAACCTCCTCCTGCCACCCCACCCCGTCCACCCTCACAGCCCAGTCCAGGAGTCAGCTCTCCCTTGAGGCCCTGCTGGATAGGTCGGCTTTGATTCATTTTCTTTCTCTGATCCCCTGTAATGCTTATAACCTATCTCTTGTCTGACACCTAGTCACTTAATTCAGTTGGTTTGCTCTTTCTTTCGCATTCGTTGTTTCCCTGAGTTTCTTACACATTCCCTGAAAGCAGGGTCTAGGAGCTCTGTTGGCATCTCCTACAGCATCTGGCATAGCGTTGAGCACAGGTCAATTCAATCGAAGAATCATGAATGATTGATGAAGTGCTTCCATCCTGACATCGTGCTCCTGCTGCCTGCGTGCCCCTGTATTAGAGGCCCCTGGGAGACTGACTACACAGATTGGAACCTGGTCTTCATCTGGGGAATGCTTACAGTACAGCCTGGGGACTTGCAGAGCCATAGCTGCAAGCAGAGAGAGAGCTAGCGGGCATGGTCCCAGTCTAACAGGGCTACCCAAGCATGCTATCTTGGAAGTTGTGAGCTTTGAGGGGTGGTGCTTGATGGAGAAGAGGGGTGAAAAGGACACTGAGAGGTAAGGGGAGTAAATGCCAGTACCCAGGGCCTTATCCTTTCTTGGGCCTTAGAGGTGGCAGGGTCATCTGGCCAGCCTAGGAGTCCTTTTAAATTGGGCCCCTGGATGGAAGAACTTGAGATTCTCTGAAAGGGACTTGGGCCTGGCTTGATGTCCCTGTGCCTTTCCCCTAGGCTGAGGATGTCACCTTCCTCTACCACCCCTGTGCCCATCCCTGGCTGAAGCTGCAGCTTGCCCTCTTGGCCCATGTCTGCATGGCTGAACCCTCACTCAGCCCTGACTCCAACCTCACTCAGGATCGGGTAAGTGGTGAAAGATGGTGTGTCTGGCACTGGCAGAAGGGTGTAGCCCTATGTGCAGGAAAAGAATCTGGGGCTTCGTCTTGTTCGCCCCCACGTGCATCTTAGCTCTGACAGTTACTTCCTTTCATAGCCCCTGGTGTTGACAGCATGGGGAATGGCGCTGGAGATGGCATGGGTAGAGCCAGCCTGGGTTGCCCACTGGCTGAAGAGACGACGACGGAAGAAGCAGCGGAAGAAAGCCTGGTTGCACACTGATAGCCTTTCCAGCCCATTTCCCTTGGTGCCAAGCTCAGGCAGAAGGAGGCTGTGCTGGAGAAGGTGTGTGCAGGTGAGGTGCTGGGCCTGGGCTCCATTGGTGGCAGGGTCCTTGGGTTATCTGAGCGGTTAGAGATGGCCACTGTCCTCTCTCCGTAGGCTCTGGCTTTGGCCTTTCCTCTGTGGAGTTGGCGACCCCCTGGTGCAAAGGTGACCTCTAAATGGTCCAGGAACCCCTCTCCCAGTGGTGCCAAGAGGCGGGGGCTACGGGCTGCCCTTGGTGTCCAACCAGCTCCCTCAGCCCCGAGGTTTCCCACTGCTTCTCCATGGAGCTTGAAGGCCAGGCAGGGAACCATGGATGAGGTGGGCAATGCCCCATCTGTGCCCACTGCCCCCCTGCCGTCTGGGGGGCTTGGAGGTAATGCCAACTCCAAGACAGAGGCTCAGGAGCCCGATGGGCAAGGTGGCCCAGGAGGCTGTGCCTGTCCGAGTCAGGCTTCTCCGGCCCCTCGGGCCGCAGCGCCTCCACGAGCCGCGCGGGGCCCCACGCCCCGCACGGAGGAGGCTGCCTGGGCGGCCCTGCACCGCAACTTCCGACGTGGGGAGAGCATCTACTGGGGGCCCACGGCAGAGAGCCAGGACACAGTGGCCGGTGAGAAGCTCCCTCCCCACCCACTGGCCCAGTCCCACCAAGGTTTCCTTGCCCCTCCCCCACTTTGACTATGCCCCGCCCTGCCCACAGCTGTGCTGAAACGGAGGCTGCTGATGCCCCCGCGCCGGGTCAAGCGCTCCCGCCGGAGACCCCTCCTCCCACCCACTCCGGACAGTGGCCCCGACGGGGATAGCTCAGAATGACCTGCCCCGCCCTGCCCTGGCAGCAGCCAGTTCTGCCTGCCGCCCGGAGGCCGCGACCTCTGCCACGTGGAGCGCGCGCAGCGGCGCCCCCTGGTGGCTAGCGGGGCCGCCCTGCCTAAGCAGCGGGATGGTTTCCGTATCAGTCGGGAGCGGATGGCGATCGGAGAGGGGCCCCTTTTGCCAAACTCGCTATATGCCTGATTAAATTATTTTGGTAGAGCTTGGAGTTGAGTTTACATGGACACACTCTCTCCTAACAGGAGAGTCCCAGTCTGCCTAGGTTGCTGGGTGGATGTAGGTTGTGACTGGACGGGGCTGGGGGTGGGTTGGGGTTTTGCCTATAATCAGACGGGCACTGGTCAGCCAAACTGGCCTTCAACGCGGATTTTAGGAGCGTGTGAACAGGTAGTGTCACCGAAATCTTATTTTCCGGCTCTTCCTTTAGGAAGATGTCCCCACCAAGGGCATCGCGGTACTGCCCTGTGGAATCCCTGCGCACTTTGAACTTGCCAGGTCCTGTCCAGTTCTCCAAGCATCACAAACAGCACATGGTCACTTATTTATTTTGATACAAATGTACATGACACACGTCTTCACAGCCCACCCACCACCACAGGTAGGGCCTGCCCCCAAGAGGTGGGGCCAGAGGGCTGGTAGGTGCCCCTGCCTCTCCAGCTGCAGGGTTGCAGCAGGCTCCCTGGGAAGTGGGACCACAGCAGGTGCAGGCTGGAGGTGGGGGGCGGGGGCTGGCCTCGCAGAGGTTAGGGGAGGGGGCTCTCGGTGCCACAGCCACAGCTGAGTCGGACCCGGGGAGCCAGCCCCAGGCTCAGGTGCTCAGTCCTCCAGCCAGCAGTCCCCTTCCACAGGGAGGGGTGGAGAGGTGGAGGGGAGTGGTCTTTAAGTTCATAGAGAAGGGGTACTGGTGGGGGTAGTGATAAGAGGCAGCCGTAGGACCAGAGCTGGTTAGCCCCTCCGACCGCCCCTGGCCCCACGCTGGTCTGGTCCCCACTGCTCTGGTCCCCTCACCCCTCAGAACTCGATGGACCAGTCCTCCGGGTCGGCACTGCCGCCCGCACACTCACGCAGGCACGCAGGGACACTCAGTTACCACAAAGTTAAAATTAAGGGGTGGGGAAAGGAGAGAAAATTTCCAGTGTTTGCTGCTGGGGACCCCAGCACACAGGTTGGGCCTGTGCCCTAGGCAGGGGCCGTTTGGCATTGAAGGAGAGCAGCAAGGAGGCTGGTGGCTACAGGCGGGACATCCACAGAGGGTATGTACAAAGGGGGATGCCCCCCCCAGCCCCCAGTAGGGCTGGACTGGCTCATGGGGGTGGGGTGCAGGAGGGAGAGCTGCCCCACGTGGAGTGTCCCCACCCAACCCTTTGCTGAGGGTGCCCAGAGGGCGAGGGGCTGGGAGTGATGCCTTTTGGGCCCCTGCACACTAGAAGGTAGGGTGCTATGTACAGGGGAGGGGTGTGGAATGTGGGGGACAGAAGCTCCTGCCGCCCCACCTCCCCATCCTTGGGGGCTCCAGGGGTGGGCACCAGGGCACCTGGCTGCCAGGGAGAGCGGCAGCACTAAGGGCACTTGTGCCAGTGGCTCTGTTGGGGTGGGATTAGTGTCTGGAGTGGCCCAGCTCCCGTGGCCAGTGAGGTTCCAGGGTGCGGGTGAGGGTCGGGGAGAGTGGTCACTGCTTCTTCTCTCGGGTGGTGATGGTGACCAGCTGCTTGGCAGCCTTGGCAATGTCATAGGCGCACTGGATCACCTGCTGGGTCAGCAGCTGGAAGTCCACAGGGGCGCCAGGCTCTGGAGGCACTGGCTTCCGGCACTCGCTCTGCAGCCGATAGGCGCTGGCATTGAGCCGCCGGAGCGAGCACCGCACCGGCAGAGCTCCGCACCGGCTCCAGGGCTGGCCTCTGCGGGGAGGGGTGGGGCCGCGGACTTTAAGCCATGAGCAGGATCATGGGCCAGCGAGCCGTCTCCGCCCAGGTGGCAGTTATAGATTCTCTGTGCCCACCCCCACCCGCTCCTGCTCCTCTCTGGGCCCTTCACCTTTGGGAAGAGAGAGGCCATCTCGGTCACAGCCAAATGGATCTTCTCTGAGCAGGGCACGAAGCTGTGGGGGGCATAGAGGGCTTAGTTAGGGAAGAACAGCCCCCTCTTGGCCTTTACGACCCCCGAGGCCAGTGGAGCCCACTACTGCCTCCTACCTGTCATGCTTGAACTCCTGGGCTGCCCGCAACAACTCCTGGATGTTCTTGGTGACCTGCTCTGTCTTCAGGATGACATCCTCTGTGCTGGGCAGCCCGGGGTCAAGCTCTCCATCCAGGCTCTCCAGCTCCGGGTGGAAGTCCTCCTCCTTGCCCAGCTCTAGGAATCTCTTTCCTTCCAGCCTGTGGCCCAGGGTTCGAAAGAGACGTTCCAGCTGTGGGGCTGCTCACCTCCGCCCTCAAAGACACCCTGGGGCCTTCTCAGCCTCTTCCCCCTAGGGTGCAAGCAGGGCTGGGCTGGGACCCAAGGGTGCCTCACCCGAGTAGTGGGTCCCCACTTTGCGTGTTCTCGTAGTCGCTGTCTGCACCACTGCCGTGGCGGGAAAGCTTGCTCTGGAGGGCAGAGGGAAGGGGCAGGCAGGTGAGTGTGCACCCCTGGGCCACTCCCCTCACACAGCTGTCCCCGGGGGGGCTGGGCATGGAACCATTACCGTATGACGGCTTCCTTCCTGAGAGCAGGACAGCAGAGGGGAAGAGGGAGTGAAGGGCACAGCAGAGGCAGACACCCCCTTCCGGATCTGAAACCCAGGAGGGGCCGGAGTCAGTCCCCACCCCACCTCTCCTCCCTGTTCCTTCTAGCTTGCCCATGCAGCACGGAAGCCGACTCCCACTGAAGTAGACCCTCCTTACCCTGTAAAGGCCAGCAGGGACGTGCACTGAGTAGATGGCATCATCCTCCAGCTCCTGGGGGGGCGGGAGCACAGGGGGATTCATGGCAGGCCTGTAGCAGCCCCATTCCTGTTACCCAACCCCTTGAGACCCATAGGCAACTCACAGTGCTGTGGAAAGGCTGCAGCCGCGTAGCCAGCTCATCCCCAGGTGGGCCCCCAAAGGGCTTCAGGGCAGAGCCTGGTTCATACATGGAGAAGGCCTGGCGGTCCCTGCGTGTGCACCCCTGGGCCACTCCCCTCACCACAGTGTCCCCCGGGGGGGCTGGGCATGGAACCATTACCGTATGACGGCTTCCTTCCTGAGAGCAGGACAGCAGAGGGGAAGAGGGAGTGAAGGGCACAGCAGAGGCAGACACCCCCTTCCGGATCTGAAACCCAGGAGGGGCCGGAGTCAGTCCCCACCCCACCTCTCCTCCCTGTTCCTTCTAGCTTGCCCATGCAGCACGGAAGCCGACTCCCACTGAAGTAGACCCTCCTTACCCTGTAAAGGCCAGCAGGGACGTGCACTGAGTAGATGGCATCATCCTCCAGCTCCTGGGGGGGCGGGAGCACAGGGGGATTCATGGCAGGCCTGTAGCAGCCCCATTCCTGTTACCCAACCCCTTGAGACCCATAGGCAACTCACAGTGCTGTGGAAAGGCTGCAGCCGCGTAGCCAGCTCATCCCCAGGTGGGCCCCCAAAGGGCTTCAGGGCAGAGCCTGGTTCATACATGGAGAAGGCCTGGCGGTCCCTGCGGTGGGTGCTCCCGCCAGGCCCCATGGCTGTGTGTTCTGCCCGCTCGCTGGGCAGTGGGGGTGTGGGTGCTGGCCCTGGCGGCTGCCGGAGCTGTAGGTTTTCTGCCTGCAGCTTGTGGATCTGTGGGTGTGCACAGCAGTGTCAAATGTGGGGTCCATGTGAGCACCGCATCTCCAGAGAGGTGTCCCCCATTCCCACTGAGGCTGCAGCCCTCACCTCCCTCTGCAGCCTCCGGAGCTCATCACTCAAGCTACTGTTGACCTTCATGAGCTGCTGCACTCTGGCCTCAGAGGTAGCCAGGGCCTTCTTCAGCTCCAGGTACTCCTGCAGCGTCACTGCTCCATCGGAAAGATCCGAGGAGTCCATGCTCTGCAGAGGGACACACGGGTTGGTCAGCTGCCAGGGGCAGGAAGCAGATGCCCTCAGGGCCTACTCTCAGGCAGTGACCAGCCCATTTGTTCCCAAGGCCCTGAGCAACAAGACAGAACTGGGCCTTAAAGGAGGGGGCACAGAGGAATGAGTGGGAGGGCCAGGAAGGGGCAGTGCTGAGACCCGGGCGCGGTTGTTCCGAGTGGCGCCGGCGCTGCGCAGGGGCTCCTGGTCGGTGTCCTCGTCGGAGGCCACACTGTCGTAGTCGTGCTGGTCGTCGAGGTCACTCTGGCTCCGTGTGGATAGCTCGAGGTTGTCTGAGGACACAAGGCCTGTCACCTGGGGCCCACTGAGCCACACAGCCTGTCTGCCATGCCACCCTGTGCAGAGGGGGCCTCAAAAGTCTCTTGGCATGGTGCCAGCCCTTCCCACCTGTGGGGCTGCTCAGACTCTTGCCCTGCTGCCTCCGCTTGGCCTCGCTGAGAATGTCGATGATCAAGGTGGCGAACTCTCGGGCATTAAAGCGGGCCAACTTCTGTCGCCCCTGAAGGCAGAAAGGGTCAGGCAAGCCAACATGAGGGGTCGAATGGCTGACACACGGGTGGGAACAAGCTGCAAGGTGGCGCCCTGACTGATTTCAACGCCAGACACCTCAGCCCACCCTCACTGGCAGCAAGGCCACCCCGGGGTGTTCTTGAGAAGCTAAAGAACCCACCAGAGGCTGCTCACCAAGTGCTTAAAGGAAAGGCCTTGTTCCCCTTCCCAAATCTCAGGGCCAGCCAGGCTGGGGAGGCCTCAGTCAGGGGCAGAGGGCTGGCTGAGAAGGGATAGACTCACAGAGCTGGTGCCCCCAGGGAGCAAGACGACCATGCCATGCCCCC